GCCAGATGTGTTCCCATCACCACGTCTTAACTTCAGAGCCACCTGGGTGCCCTGCCTCGGTGCTGCCAGGCTGTGCTGGCCCGCAGGATGCTGTGGCTCTCAGCACACCAACCGAGGCTGTCTGAGATGGGGACGGTGCTGCCCAGCTGCTGTAAGAGCTGGCCAGGGCTGCCCGGGGAGGGCTGCTTCAGCCAGCTGCTCGGGCTGGAGCTGGAGCCCAGCCTGCTGAGAAGGTCTGGCAGGGCACTGGGAGCCACCTGGGACTACCCTTCAAGCTGGGCCTTTGGGATGAAACTGTTTTCCCATTAGAGTTTGCAATGAGCCATGAGTGCTGGCTTGATCTGCCCAGAGAATTTCTCCTAAAACCCTCCCTCCTTTTGGGTTTGACACTCAGCAGTTTGTGCTGTCCTGATAAGCACTCATAAATAATGATGTCCTGTTGGTTGCAGAGCCAGCTGTCTCCAGGCAGGGGCCAAGGAGGTCCCCCTGGCCACGCACAGCCAGCCGTGGCTGTGTGTGTGTGGAGGGGCCGGGGGTCCCCTGTCCTTGCAGGCACGGCAGAGGGGCACAGCCCTGCCCGCCCGTGAGGCCTGCAGAGAAGGGGCTGCGGAAGCGCTGCCTTATCTGCCCGTGCCACACACGGCTTCACCCTGCGCCCTCCTTCCTGCTGTCCCCACCAGGGAGGAAGCGTGGAAGCCTTCTTCTGCTCAAGATGAGAGATCAAAGAAGACTCTGATGTTCAACTCTGATATTTCAGACTTTCTTCTGCCTCTGCTTAGAGGAAGAGGTTTTTGCTAGCTGGGAAAACAGATCCCAAGGGCGATTAACACCTTCTGTAGCTGCAGCTCCCAGCAGAGCCGCTCACCTCTTCCAGCAGCTGTCTCACCCTCGCTGGAGCGGCTGTTGCCCCCTGCTCCCCATGATTCACCCTGGGTGCTGGAGCAGAGGAGCAGCCACGGGCCACCCCCGTGGTGCTGCTGTGACCAGCCAGGGGTGCCCGCAGCCCTGCCGGGCACTTGCCCAGACGCTGGGGCTGCCCTCAGCAGCAGCGGGCTCAGCACCAGGCGAGGTGGGGGACAGCAGGAGGGCTGGCGGGGTGACACTCCTGTGTCCCCACAGGTGTGTGGAGGCCCTGGTGGTGTACTGCTGGTCGGGGCGGGAGGAGGAGCCCTACGTCACCATCACCCGCAAGCGGCGGCTGCGGAAGGGCTACGAGGTGGAGATGGAGCAGGAGGTGGGCCACTCGGAGCGGCGCCTGGCCACGCACCGCAACGCCTTCAAGCGCATGGCCGTCATCCAGGCCTTCCTGGGCTCCACCCCGCAGCTCACCCTCCAGCTCTACATCAGCGTCTTGGAGAAGTACGTCCCTGTTGCCCGAGGTAAGGGGCACGTGGGCTCCCCAGGAACCCCACCAGGGCACCCTGGCAGCTCCCCAGCTGCTGGTGCTGATGTGGCATCCAGGCAGTCCAAAAAGTCCCTCCCGGGGACGCAGCTTCCACTGGACTGCCCTAAATGTGGAGCGCGACCCACAGGAGTTGGGCACTCAGCAGCTCTCTGCTTTCTGCTTGCAGTGATGCGAAGTGGGAAAGAGCAGGCATGGCTGAGGTGCCAGGCTCTGCTCCCAGCCCCGTGCTCGTATCTGCCCCCCAGAACCAAGCCATCCGCCCAGTGCCATGTCTCATAAGAGGGTCAGGTCCCTGCCCTAGCCTGCTCCAGTCCCCATTAATTTTTTCCATCTAGCTACAGGCTCTGGCTTCCCTCAAGTCCCCCCACTGTGTCTATTTGTGCACATTTTCCAACAGCAGAGCTCCCAGCCCAGCACTCCCACTCCGAGGCTCCTTTGCCTGCTCCCAGGATGTTTACGTGCTTGGGGGTGGATATGCCAGAGCAAACTTTTAACTCCCATTTTGGCACCGAGCTGGGCACGCAGGTGTGCTCCTGCACCATTCCAATTACAGTGCTGGGTGCAGGAGCTGCCGTCACCCACCCGCTCTCTCAGCAGTGCTGGGAGCCCAGACCTTGTCATCTGTGCCCACAGCAGGTGCATGAAAGGGGAAGCACAGGAGATGCCCCATAGAAACCCCCTAATTTGCCACAGCCCTCTGCAAAGGCATTTGGGGAGCTGCAGACACACAGGAAGAATGAGTGCCAGTCTGCTCTAGCAGTAGATGCGGGAAGTAAACACCAAATGATGTGTTTTGGGTGATTCCCTTGCAGCTGGAGTGTCAGCTCAGCCCTGCAGCTGGCAGCCACCATGGATGGGACCAGCTGCACTCTTCTGTTTTTCTCCATGGTATTCCTGGCTCTGCTGAATGTGAGCAGCTGCCAGCATTCCCTACAAATGACCTTGGCTTTGCAGCCCTTGGGCGGGGCTGGCTCTTGGGATGCCTCTGGGGCTACAGTGGTGCAGCTCTTGGCTGGGGGGAAGGCAGAGGGGCCCTCGCAGCACTGACTGTGCCCAGCTTACCCTTGAGCAGCATTTCCTGCACAGGGCAGGGGGGCTGGGGCATGGTCATACTGCAGAAATGGCTCCATTTGGCCGAGGCATTCATGTAGGGAGAACCTTTGGGTCCTGAGCCTCCTGCTCCTGAGCAACTTCCCCCACAGCCACCTCATTGTGGGGACTGTCACCACCATCCATGAGCTGTTCTGGCAGTGCTCACGCTGAGCCCTCTGCTGTGAGCCCAGGGGTCTGGCACCCTGCACTGCTCACCCAGGACTGGCACCCAGGTTTCCCACCTGGAGCTGTCACCCCACCCTTTGCAGCCCAGGCAGTGGAGAGGCTGGAGAGAGCCAGGTCTGCTGCGCTGCCTGACTGCCCCGCTGTCTCCCTCTGCAGCCGTCCTCATGGCCATCTGCCTGGTGTCGGTCACCTACGGCGCACTGGTCTGCAACATCCTGGCCATCCAGGTCAAGTACGATGACTACAAGGTGCAGCTGCGGCCGCTGGCCTTCCTCTGCATCGTGCTGTGGCGCAGCCTGGAGATCTCCACCCGCATCGCCGTCCTCGTGCTCTTCAGCACCGTCTTCAAGCACTGGATCATCCCCATCGCCCTGGCCAACCTGCTGGTGGTCTTCTTCCTGCCCTGGGTGCAGTTCTGGCGTAGCGGCAACCGCCTGCCTGACAACGTCGAGAAGAACTTCAGCCGCCTGGGCACGGTGGTGGTGCTCTGTGCCTTCACCCTCCTCTACTCCAGCATCAACATGTTCTGCTGGTCGGCCGTGCAGCTCAAGCTGGCCGACCGGGACCTCATCGACAAGTCGCAGAACTGGGGCCGCCTGGCCGTGTACTATGTGGCCCGGCTGGCGGAGAACACGGCCCTCGTCATCCTCTGGTACTTCTTCAAGACCGATGTCTACGAGAACGTCTGCACCGCGCTGCTGGTGCTGCAGCTGCTCCTCGGCTACTGCCTGGGCATCTACTTCATGCTGCTCTTCTTCCAGTACCTGCACCCCTGCCGCCAGCTCTTCCGGCACAATGTGGCTGATTTCCTGCACTGTGTCTGCTGCCGCCGGCACCCGCCCGGGACCCCGCTGTGCCTCGAGGCACCCCAGGAGCCCGGCGTGAGGCACAGCATTGTCTGAGCACCCGGCTCCTCCAGGCAGCTACGGACACGGGCATGGGCGGCACAGGGCTGCGCCACAGCCAGGGGATGCTCCTGGCACGGGCCGAGTGGTGCCTGGTCCTGCAGCGGCAGCAGGTCCCAGCGCATCCCCACGGGAGCAGGGGGACAGGAGTGTGCTTGCCTGCTCAGGACCACTCACATGAACATGAAGGAGGGTTGATTTGGATTGGACGTAAGGAAGTTTTTTGCAATGAGAGTGGTGAGGGACTGGCACATGTTGCCCAGAGAAATGGTGAATGTCCCTGAAAACATTCAAGGCCAGGTTGGATGGGCTCTGAGCAACCTGGCCTAGTTGAAGATGTCCCTGCCCATCTCTGGAGGGTAACTAGATGGTCTTTAGAGGTCCCTTCCAACCCAAACTATTCTACGATTCTACAGTTCTACAGCTTATGGGGAGTCCCAACCATTTGCCCCAGCAAGCAGGCTGCCACACGGTGCACAGCCCCTGGGGTGCCCCGACACCCCACCTGCTGCTGTGGTGCATATGGTGACCTCGGGCTGTGGGTGCCACTGGGACTGATTTAAGCAGTAAAAAACCTTTGCTGTGGCTGTGCATCTGGGTGCTGGCAGTGACTCACGCGAGGGTGGGGACCCGGCACCGGGGCTGACACAGTGCACACACCTGCTGCCCACGTAAAACTCTCCTTTCCAGGCACCGAAATGGGGCTGTGGCAGCGGGAAGTGGGGATGGGGGAGCCCCTCGGTGGAGCTGATAAGGTTCAGGAGCACGGCAGGATCGGGGCTAGCCTCATCCTGTACTTCCCTCAGCATGGCCATGGCCGCAGGCCAGGAGAGAGCAGCATGCCAGCAAGGAGCAAGCCTGTCTGACCTGTTCCTCCAGGCTCAGGGGCCCAGAACAGGCTGCTGCTCCCAGCTGGAGCACTGCACACCCCAGGGCTCAGGGCCCTGCAGTGGGGGGCAGGCAGGAAGGGAAGGGTGGCTGGCACAGCAGTGGCAGTGGGTGCTGATGGGACCCAGACGTCCTAGCCCCAAACCAGGAGTGTGACACCCCCACCCCAGCACCCATTTTTGGGGTGGGCTGAGTTCGGGTGCTGTGCTGAGGATGCTCATCATCCCTGGGTGCAGCCCTGGGTGCTCGGTCTTAAATCACCCACTCTGTAATGGATGCCTGGGCTGGATCCTGGCACCAGCAGAGCACCGTGACCCCAGGATGCTGCTCTTCCTCTGGTGGTTTCCCTGCAAAACGGGCAGTGAGGAAGGCCAGGGAAAACTGAGCTGTTGAGCCAGGTGCAGGATGGATCCTCTGCAACTTCTTCCCAGGAAATTCCTGCCTGACAAAAAAAGCCCTTTTTTGTCCTCAGAGGTTGCAAAACCCGAGGAGGAGCAGCCAGACACCCTGAGTGACCCAGCCGCGGGGCCACGGGGGATCTCTCGGGGGGGACCATCCCCGGCCAGCACAAGGGGCTGGTTTCGGTGTTGGCCGGTTGGGTCAGCCCTGCCTTCCTGGAAGGAGGCCTTTGAAACCAGCGGCATTTCCTTAAAGTCTTCTCAGGGGAAAGTCCCGCGGTGCCGTTCCGGGGCCGGGACGCTCGCACCGCCCGCTGCCCACATAAAGCGCCGGGCGGGCGCGGGGCTGGCACGGCGCTGGCACGGCGCTGGCACGGCGCACCATGGGCAGCTGGCTGGTCAACCACTGGCTCTCGGCCGCCGTCCTCGTGAGTGTGCGGGGCTGGGGGCGTACGGGGACTCGGGGGGCTCGGGGGAGATGGGGACCGGTGAGCTGTCCTGGGGCTGGGCTGTGGGGAGAGACGAGCATCCCTCTGCTCGCCAACCGCGTACCCGGCGCCCAGGGGAGGGATGGGCTCTGGACAATTGAAGTCTTGGGGAAAACACAGTTCACGGGAAAGGGGGTCCTGGAAAATTTTTAAATGCTGCTGCTTTGGCTGGGAGCCTCCCACGTGCCTCTTCTCCCCTTGTGAGAGGAGGAGGATCCTGTGAGAAGTCGTGGCAGGGTGAGGAGCTGGCACCATAGCGACCATCTGCCAGTGCCGTGCTGCAGCATCTCTGGTGTAACAGAGCTTGCCTGGCCAGCACCCATCAGCTGCTCAGCACTGTGTGAGGAGCTGTGAATGCATGGGAACGTGGGGGTTTACTGATAGTTGGGCTATTTTAATTTTTTAAGTTACTTAAAAAAGAAAAAGAAAACAGCCAAATACACAGCAGGGTGTTTTTTTTTGAGACCTCTGCAAAAATTCAGTGTCTGTGAGAGGCGGCACTGTGGGCTTCAGTGGGGTTAGGCAGGGGACAGCAGCACAGTGGGGCCAGGTGCATCAGCTCCCTGTGAAACTTCCTTGTCCCAGAATCTTTCCCACACCGTCCTGGCCACCCAGATCTGCCTTTCCCGTTACATGGGTGTTGCCTGCTCCTGCCTTTCCTCCTTCCTCATGCACGGGTGATGCACAGGGCAGTGTGTGACAAGACAGCAGGTGTGCAAGGCTCCCACACCTGTCCCCACCTTTGACCCCATGTCCCAGCCCTGTGTGTGACAGGGCAGCTCACAAGGAAACAGATACGCTGTTTGGGTCTGTCCTGACCCCTCTGCCTGCACCCGGCCTGACTGCTGCAGTGTGAGAGGCTCCCGGGACAGGGTCCCTCACCAGGCTGTGACTTTCCCCCACAGGCAGCCTGGCTGGGCATCAACATCTTCCTCTTCACCTACTACTTTCTGTTCTTTGACCGGGACGAGCGGTATTTCTACACCAGGGCCATCCTTGGGGTAAGGTGCTCCCCAGGGCACCCCGCCTGCCCAGGCAGACGAGCCCCTCGGGGCCCTGCTACAGTGGGGTGGGGGCTGCAACACCCCACACCCCTTTCATGTTCTGTTGTCTTCCAGCCCACCATCATTCCATCCCACTCTGTGGTCTGGCATTGCACCGTGCTAGTCCCTGCCTTGATCCCTGTCTGGTCTCAGCCCAACAGCATCCCAGCCCAGCCTAACATCTCCTGCTCCTAGTCCTCTCCTAGCATCCCTCCCAGTCCCCATGCCAGCCCAGCATCTCTCCACCCCAGTTGCCAGCCTAGCTCAGCACTGACTGGCCCCATCCTGACCCAGTCCTGGCCCAGCACGACAGGACAGTGGTGCTCACCCCTCTCTTCTCCCCAGTCTGCGCTGGCATGGGCTCGAGCATCAGCCAAGTGCCTCAACTTCAACAGCATGCTGATCCTGCTGCCCGTGTGCCGCAACCTGCTCTCCTTCCTCCGGGGGACCTGCTCGGTGAGTGTCCCGTGGTGGCACAGCCAGCGGGGCCGTCCCCAGCCCTGTCCCATCCTGACACCGCTGCCTCTCCCGGCAGTGCTGCAGGCGGACGTTGAGGAAGCAGCTGGACCACAACCTCACCTTCCACAAGCTGGTGGCCTACACACTGGCCCTGCTCACAGGTACCCCCTGCCTGGGATGGGGCAACAGTGGGCACTGGGAGCTGCCCGGTGGGTGACTGCCCGTCCCCTGCCCAGCTGTGCACACCATCGCCCACCTCTTCAACCTGGAGCGCTACAACCAGAGCCAACGAGCCACCGACGGCAGCCTCCCCGCTGTCCTCTCCAAGGTGCACCTGCAGGGCAGCAAGTGGCTCAACCCCATCCACTCCAACCAGACGGTGAGTGTGGCCTTGGCACCCAGCAACCCGCCACCACCTGTGCCCTGCTCCCCTAACCCACCCTGCTGCCCCTGCAGACCGTCGAGTACGTGGCTTTCACGACCATCCCGGGGCTCACAGGGGTGATCATCACGCTGGCACTCATCCTCATGGTCACGTCCTCCACCGAGTTCATCCGCAGGAACTACTTTGAGCTCTTCTGGTACACACACCACCTCTTCCTCGTCTACTTCGCTGGCCTCGTCATCCACGGCATCGCGTAAGGCTCCTCACCGCTGCCCAGGGCAGGGCAGCGAGGGGCAGTGCACACAGAGCCCTGGCGGGGCAGCTGCAGGGACAGTGGGGCTCTGAACTGCCCTGCCCAGGGCGGGCTACCCGGCTGGCCTCCCGCAGCGTGGCTCAGCCCCGGCTGGGAGCAGAAGCTGGCCCCTGGGCTCATCCCTCACCTGCCTGCAGTGGGCTGGTGCGTGGGCAGACGGAGCAGAGCATGGCAGAGGTGCCCCCCTATCACTGCGCCGAGTACCTCACACAGCGGGAGCAGAACTGCACCCACAGCTGCTGCAAAGACCCCGAGTTCGGGAGCATCCCTGCCGAGGTAGGGCAGAGGTGGGATGGCTCTGGGGGAGAAGGACGCTCTGGGACGCTCTGGCCCTGGCCCTGCCCAATCCTTGCTCTCCTCCATCTTCACAGTCCTGGAAGTGGGTTCTTGCCCCCATCATCCTCTATGTCTTTGAGCGGATCCTGCGGGTCTGGCGTGCGCAGCAGAAGGTGCTTGTCACCAAGGTGGGTGGTGCAGAGCCTGTTCCTCTGCCAGCTCCTACCCTTGGAGTCACCGGTGGCCGTGGGGAGGCAGGCAGGGGCCACAGGCACAGCCCCTTCCTCGGGACAGGGGCCAGGCTGGGCGCTGAGCCCTGCCCATGCCCCCAGGTGGTCATGCATCCTGCCCGCGTGCTGGAGCTGCAGATGCAGAAGAAGGGCTTCTGCATGGAAGTGGGGCAGTACATCTTTGTCAACTGCCCCGCCATCTCCTCACTGGAGTGGCACCCCTTCACCCTCACCTCTGCACCCGAGGAGGACTTCTTCTCCATCCATGTCCGGGCAGCTGGCGACTGGACAGAGCGTCTCATCGACACCTTCCAGCTGGAAATACCCAGGTAGGCTGGGGAGTGCCCAACAGGTCATGCCAGGGATGCGGGGAGGCCGTACCTCTCACCTGGGCCCTGCTTTGGCCAGGGTCGAGGTGGATGGTCCCTTTGGCACGGCCAGCGAAGACGTGTTCCAGTACGAGGTGGCCATGCTGGTTGGAGCGGGCATCGGCGTCACCCCCTTCGCCTCCATCCTCAAGTCCATCTGGTACAAGTTCCAGCAGGCTGACCAGACCCTCAAGACCAAGAAGGTACAGAGTGTCCCATGGGACCAGCTGTGGGTTTCTTCCTCTGGTTCTGCTCCACCTTGAGCAACCCCTCTGCCCCTGCATCCCAGATCTACTTCTACTGGCTCTGCCGGGACACAGGAGCCTTTGCCTGGTTCAACGACCTGCTTGCCTCACTGGAGCAGAAGATGGCCGAGTCGGGCAAGGCAGACTTCCTCACCTACCGCCTCTTCCTCACTGGCTGGGACACCAGCATTGTGAGTCAACCACAGGCTGGCATGGCTGCGAGAAGGGCACACGGGGTGGCCAAGCTGGGCAGCAAGGGCAGGGCAAGCATGACAACGGCTTTTAGGCACAAAGCCCAGGCAGAGGGTTTGGTGGGATCAACAGTGGGTGCTCCTCTGTGGTGAGGGATTGAGGGGGCTCATGGGTGGTGCCTGGGGTTCTCACCATCCCTGCCTGCCCAGGCCAACAACGTGGCACTGCGCTTCGACACCGCTACGGACACAGTGACGGGCCTCAGGCACAAAACCATCTTCGGGCGGCCCATGTGGAACACGGAGTTTGCAGCGGTGGCTGCAGCCCACCCCAGGTGAGAGCTGAGCATGGAATTCAGGATGCTGGAGTCAGAGGCATGCCCTCTACCCTGGCACTCAGCACTGGGCTGGCTTTGGGAGAGGTGTGCTATCCCAGGCAGGGAGCCCAGAAATCTTTTAAATCCCTTTTCCCCAAGTTGCCCACCTGGCATTGACATGCCCCTGCTGTCTGCAGGTCAGTGGTCGGTGTGTTCCTCTGTGGGCCGGAGGCCCTGGCAAAGAGCCTGCAGAAGTCTTGTCACCAGCACTCCAGCCTGGACCCCAGGAAGGTCAAATTCTACTTCAACAAGGAAAACTTTTAAGTGGCAGCGAGGCTGGCGCCCCAGCGGGCAGGGACCCTGCCTGTACTGTCTCAACCCTTTCCAAAGCAAGGCCAGGGATGAGCATCCCTGCATGCACTGAAGCCAAGCAGGACACAGCAAGGTTCTCCATCTCCATGAGAAATCCCAGGTTCAAAGACTGCTGCCTGCCTGTCCTGCTGTACAAGGACCCTCATGGAGCAAGTGGGCCTGTAGCTCCACACAGCCCCCTCACTGGGAAACCAGAGCCACGTTCTGTGATGCTGCTGGAGCAGTGGGAAGCAGTGGGAGCCCAGCAGGATGGGATGTGGGCATCCATGCAGGCGACAGGGGCCAAACGTGCCCCTCATTCTTTTGTATAAGAATAAATTAAACTTCCTTTTCTTTGTAATGAAAGCCCTGTGGTGACCCAGCTGTGCAGGTACAAAGGAGCCCATGCTCTGCCCTTGCAGGGCTGCAATAGAAGAGCTGGTTGATAGCAAACCTTCTGGGGTGCAGGATCAGACACCCCTCTGCACGGGCTCGCTGCCACCCTGGCACCCCAGAGCCAGCCTGCACCCAGCACACAGCTCAGCTCCCACTGCAGCTGCCACCAGGTTCTGCTCCAGCGTGTGCAGAGAGGGAAACCCCGCTCCCTGAGCAGGCTGGTGTGGTAAGTGATACTGCAATTGGATCCAGAGCCCTTCCTGCCTGCCCAGCAGGAATAGAAAGCCAAGCTCTCTGTCCTGCCCTTCCCCTAGACCCCTGTAAACAGCATGGCACAAGAAATTCCATGATTAGTTCTTGCCCTGTGTGGGGAGGAGGGAGGGTGGCAAGTGGTTCAGACAAGACTGGAGGCAGGCCACATTGCCCCCAGAACACAACACTCCACTCTGGCCTCCATGAGAGCCCAAACAAGGCAGCCAGGGACATGAATTTACTCAAACCCTCCTCCCACTTTATTTCAAACACCATAAAACATACACAAAAAAAAAAAAAAAAAAAGATGAAAAAAAAACAAAAAAAAAAAAAAAAAAAAAAAACAAAAAACAAAAAAAAAAAAACAAAAAAAAAAAAAAAAAAAAAAAAAAAAAAAAGGATGAACTGGAGCGAAAAACCTCTTGAGAGTGACATAACCTCTGCTAAAATGCACCATCAGCTCAGGTAGCAATGGGAAGCAGCTGCCATGGAGCACCACCTCTATCCAGGCACAAGGCATCTCCATCTTGTGCCTGCCAGAAGGAGAGGAGGGTGAGCCCAGCATGGAGGGAAGCAGGGCAGAGTCCCATCCTGGGCAGCTCTGTTTTGCTGGAGGGGAACAGGCACAGGGTGAGAGCAGGTTAAGGACATCACCTGTCAGGGTGCCCCCGTGGATTTCTGGATTTGCTCCTTCAGAATGAGGATGCTCTGCCGCTGTTCTGGGGGCAGCATGGCGATCTGGTCTGCTGTCAGCTGCAGGACCTGCATGATCAGTGCTGCCTGTGGGGAAAGAGGGGTCAGAGATGTGCCCTGTCAGAGCAGCCACAGCGTACCAGAGCCAGGGAGGGGCTGACCCCGCCACAGAAAGGCTACAGGAAGTGTTGCTCCTACTGTCTCACCCTTTCCCTTTTGGTCTCTCACCTTCTCGTGATCCTGGGGGGTGACCTGGCTCTGTCCAGGGCTAAAGCCTCCAGGCTGACCAGTCCCTTGGACTCCTGCCCCAGGTATGCCTCCTCCCTGCATGCCTGCCCCAGCCATGTTAGGAACCTGGGGGAGTAAGAGAGGGGTTAGGGAAGTTTCCAGAGAGAGCAATACAAACTCAGGAAGGTAAAAGAGATGGTCAGATGGATGCCTGAAGATGCCTGTGCATGAAGAGATAGTGCATTTTATGTGCTCTCCCCTCCCAACTCCTGTGCTCCTTTCTGTCTCAGGAAGAGGTGGGGAGAGGCCTGAGCCTTGTCCTGTCCCCAGCTGATGGGCAGTGCCTGGGGAAATGGGACAGATGCCCTGACCCCTCAGAGCTAGTGCCCAAAGCCTGGTGCTTCCCAGAGCTGCTGCTCTGTGGGACACCCCCCACCCAGCCCTGGCCTACAGGATGCCGAGCAGAGCCGTGTACCTGGCGGGGCCCCTGCGGGCCACTGGCTCCCATGTTAAGTGGCCCAGGACCCTGTATCCCACCAGGCATCGGGCCACGCGGGTTGGGACCAGGCCCTCGAGGCTCCAGGCCCCGGGGCTCCAGGACCCTGGCCTCCATGGCCCTGGCTTCCAGCACTCGTGGCTCCAGCACCCGTGGCTCCAGGCCTCGTGCCTCCAGCGCTCGCGCCTCCATCACCCGGGGCTCCAGCCCGCGCGGCTCCAGCCCTCGTGGCTCCAGCCCTCGGGGATCTCTTCCAACTGCGGAGGAAACACAAGGTAAGCTCCTGGAGGAAGCGGTGCTGCAAGGAGTGTGGTGGGAGCGAGCCTGCCGCCTCCTTCGTCTGGGGGCCAGCAAGCACCCGAGAAGTGCAGGGCTGGGGGCAGAGGGGACATGCCTGGAGAAAGTCCCTTGCACCCTGGGAGTGTCCCTTCTCGCCTGGAATCAGTCATTTCACTGCCCAAACCCCCTTCCTACGCCTTGGGTTGGGGCAGCCGGCTCCACTCTGACTTCTTGCCTGCACAGTCCAAGCCACCCAGTATTTCATGCCCCCTCTCTCACCTCGAGCATCCATCAAGGGCCCCCGCGGCTCTCCCATCAGTGGTCGGGGTTCTCCCATGGGTCCCCCCCTCATCTCATGGGGGGGGCCACGGCTGTCATGACCAGGCATATGGTGCATAGGGGCTCCCTGGTGGGGCGGCCCAAGGTAACCTCTGACGCAGAGAGACGAGGAGAGCAAAGCAGGAGGAGGAGAAAAAGCGAGAGAGTGTGAATCAGACACTGGCTTGGCACGGTCTGGGCAGAGCGCTGGGATTGCCCCCGAAGCCGGCCGCAGGGGAGGAGGGTGAGGCTGGCACAGGGATGGGTGCTGGTGGCCCCATGCCACAGGGCAGCTGCCATCGCCCCGGGGATATCCCTTCCCCGGGGAAACGGGCCGGCCCCCACGGTTGGCAGCACACAGGCCTCCGACCAGGCAGCAGTGACTCCCAGAAGGCTGGTGCCATCCCTGTCCTCAGCGAGAGGCTACCCTTGGGCAGGGGACAAGTGCCAAGGGCTCCTCTCCTTCCCTCTCCCCTCACCTGGGCTCCACTTCTCCAGTGACTGAGAGCAGGGTCCCTCCGCGAGGGTCATTCGGGGCATCTCCCAAAAGGCCTCGGGGCGGCGGGCCACTAGCAGGTAGAGGTCCACGCTGCATAGGGGCCCTCGGGTCTGGCATGGGCACTGCCAGGGAGACACACAAGAACTCGTGAGGATCTGCATGACCAGTGCCGTGCCAAGACTGTCCCCGGCACTCTCAGGCCGGGCATGGGGCAGCCACGCAGCTCCCCTGAGCCATGCTGTCTGCTGGGGACACAGCCCCACACACGAGGCTGGAGCACACCAAAGCCCCTTCCCTGGCTGCCAATTTTATTCCTCTCTTTTTCTTCTCGGGTTTTATTTCAGGTTTCTTATGGCACCAGGGGCCAAACCAAGCACGAGTGCCCCCATGGCAATCCCTACAAGTGTGGGCATCAACACCCTGCCAACGTGGGGCCAAGAGCAAAGCAAGACCTGACAGGCTCCTGGAAGCACAGTGTCAAAGGGGGCTGGATCTTAGGCAAAAGCCCTTTCCAGACAGGCTGTCCTTTCCACTGGGGGCTCCATGCACGGTTCTAGCCTGTTGTCTCCTGTAGCCCTGGAAGAAATCCTGCCTCCTTTATCTCCTCTTACTGCTGTCAGGCTACAAGGAGTGACAGACAGTCCCTTGCCCTGAGAACAGCAGGGTGAGAGCTGCTCTCTGCACACTCCGCAACGAGCTCCACGGGAAGAGGGAGCTGGTGCCGGGGTACCTTGAACGCGTTCGATAGACGCAGGCCTGGCAGGTCCCACGGGCGAGAGCTGCAGGTTCCCTGGGCAAGCAGCAGGAAAAGAGGGAAAGAGCAGACATGTAAATAGTGTATGCACACACGCACCGGCTTTGGGGACAGTGCTGCCTGCAGGATCACGCACCCTGAAGTCCCCAGGAAAAAACTACAGAGAAAACGTTGCAAGTCTGGCTTTATCAACCTGTTCCGTTCACACCCTCTTTGTCACCACAGGCAGGACAGCCAGTGTGGCACGGGCCTCCCCTCACTCAGGGACAGAGGCAGGCAGAGAAGACATCCTGCCAAGAGACGCAGCATTTTGTGGGGCCACGCTGGCCCCGTAACGCACACCCAGCTTCTGCTCTCCAAAACCTTCTGGGTGCCAAGAACTATCAGACAGCTTTCAGGAAGACAGTGCCCACCCCAAAGAAAATGAGAGCCAGCTAACCCTAAGGCCGAAGGATCTCAGACTAGATTTGCACGTTGCTGAAACAAGGCCTAGAAGTCAAGGCAACAGAGGTGACAGGTGTCTGCAGGTGTTGTTCCTGGGACAACAGGAACACCGGGGCTGTACTACCCTACTCATGGCAAGGTGTGAACCACAAGGAATCGGGTCCCAGGGCCGGGCCGTACAGACCGTGCCTGCTGAGGGAAAGCCGAGTCCGCCCAGCCCCTGCCAAGCCTCAAGCCCAAGCGGAGACCCAGCTCCCTCTGCTGGGCCCGGCGCGGGAGGACCAGCGGCTTCCCACGCCCGGGCAGCGGAGCAGAGGACAAGGAGCAGAGAAGAGCAAGCTCTGCCTGCCTGCACAAGCGCAGCGAGAGACGCGGGCTCACAGAGGTGGAAAACACAGACACATCCCGCTCGGTGGGGCAGGCAGCTCTCCTGGCTTCCAGCACGGCTGCACAACAGGATGCAGAATGAGCTGGGAGCCAACTGGGGCATGGGCTGAGCCCTGGGAGCAAGGGAGCTGCTACCACAGCCTTGTGCCTCAGTGAACAAACCCGGGCTGGGCACAGCCAGGCTGCAGACAGCTGGGGCACAGCACTGCTCACTGGAGCGAGGCTCACACCACACACAGCACTACACGTCTGCTTTACCTTGTCCACGCTCCAAGGGGACAGGCCCTGCACCCGGCATCCCAACCTGTGGCTGCATCCCACCTGAGGGGACAGGCAGAGATCAGACGCCTCCTCAGCCATCCCTGACAACTAACTTGTTCCTTTGGTCCCAAATACCTTCTCGCTCCCAGCTCCTCGGGGAGCATCTGGAGATTTATTCCCTTGGTGTTGGCTTCCCCCCAGGGATAATCCAACTTTGCAGCCCACCTCTGGCAACAGCACAACCACAATGTACAGTACAGGACTACACGTGCTCTCGCTGTGGTTAGGGGGAAAGCAGAGGGGGGTGTCTGCAGGACCTGCGTGCTCACAGGTGGGGCAGCTCAGCCCAAACTCACCTCCTGGAGCCATGGGGCCAGGGCCTGGGCCCTGCACAGGGGCTGCCATCTGTCCTGGGGCTGGCACTCCCCCCTGCATGGGTGGCTGCATCAGAGGAGGAGCACCGTTGACGTGCATCCCGCCCTGCCCGGAGAGACACTGGATGTCAGGGACACCCCGACACCTGGGCACGTGCCCCAGCTGGGAGAGCTGGCACTGCCCATTTCTCCTGCACAGCTCCTGTGTTGTGCAGGCTCTTACTATGGGCTGTGGCTGGGATGACGGGGTGTTCTGCGGGTTCAGCTGCGCGTTGGGCCCTGGCCCAGGCCCCGGCCCTGGCCCAGGCCCCGGCCCTGGCACTGCCTGCTGGTTGCCTGGGATCAGAGGAGGAACACTGGTCTGGCGATGCAGGATTTTCTAGGGGAAGAAGGAGAAAGGAGTTTATTTCCACTGCCACTGCAGAAAGGCTACCACCAGTATCCTCCAGCCCCGGATGAGCAGAAGGGACCAACCAGCGCGATCTCCGGGTCGACGATCCTCATGACCACCTGGGCCTGCAGCAGTGCATAAGCCAGCTGGGGGTTCTGCAGCAGCATGTTCCTGGCTTCCTGGGGGCTGTTCTGGACACACAGCTGGGAAGACAGGCACTGATCAGAGCTCTGACAAGCTGTGACATGGCTGGGAGGGTGCAGGCAGTGGCGGGAGGAGCTGTGCTCACACAGGGAGCACCTGCACTTACCTTCATCTGCTTCATCAGCTCAAACATCTGCTCGGGTGGCAGGCTGGCCACTGCCCGGCTGATGGACTCGGGGGCATCCTCTGGGTTGACAGGGTCCCCATAGGGTGACTCTATGATGGGTGCACCTGTGCCCAAGCCTGCAACACAGTTGGTGACTTGGTACTGCAGCACGAACAGCGCATGGAACAGGCTCCGCAGGAGGGGAGCACGGGGGAAAGGGAGCCAGCAAAACCAGGGAGACCTTAGGAGGAATTTGTTCCCAGAAGGGGTGATTAGGCATTGGAGCAGGCTGCTCAGGGAGGTTGTGGAGTCACTGTTCCTGGAAGCGTTTAAGTAAAGACTGGATGTGGCATTTAGTGCTCCAGTCTAGCTGATGCCGTGTGTTTGGTCAAAGGTTGGACCGTGATCTTTACAAACCTTTTCCAACCTAAGTAATTCTGTGGTTCTGTGATCATCTTGGAGTGAAACACCAGAGCTGAGCCCATGCATCCCTCTGGGGAACTACCCGCAACACCTCTGAGAGCAGGTCAGCTCTGCCAGCCTGGCACAAGAGACACAGCCCGGCCCAAGGCAGACCCCAAAAGGCCGACTCACTCTTGAGCTCCTCCTTGTTCTTCTCGCTGGCGGCGTTGTCGACGCGCAGCGCCCTGCCGCTGAACTCGCGCCCGTTGAGGTTGCGCATGGCGCTGAGCGCCGTCTCCTGGTCCTGGTACTCGCAGAAGCCATAGCCCTTGGGCTTGCCCGTCTCCCTGTCGTACACCAGCCTGGCAGAGAGGAGAGCAACGCTGCTGAGGGCACTGCGGGCAGCCCGCGGTGCCCGCCGCTCCGGGGCACACGGGGAGGTCAGCCCAAGGCACGCAGCAGTCGGGCCCATGCCAAAGCCAAAGGGCTGCTGGCTCCTGGCACGACTGGTCCCGAAGCTGCGGTGGGCAGTGCCAGCTGTGTGCCTGCCATGACCCCTAGGATGGGACTGGCTGCTCCCAGAACTATTAAAACCTGAACTGACAGCTCTCCAGAGCCTGGTGCACTGTGGGGGCACAGGGATGGCAGTGTGGAGCACAGAGCCTGACCGGCACCTGAGCACTTATCAGGCACAGCAGGGCAGCTCCTCCAGCCCAGAGCTGCATGCCCACAGCCACCTGCTGTACCCGGGGCACTGTGCTTCATCTCCAGGTGACCCTGGCACAGCCACCGCGTCCCTCTGCTCCGAGCACAGCTGGCACAGGCTCACAACCCCCGCAGCTGCTGCTCTCTGTGAGGAAACGGCCTGGAGGGGCCCGAGGTTTAGACGGGACATCAGGTGAAGTTCCCTCGCCAAAGCGGTTGTCAAGCAGCAGAACGGGCAGTGGCCGAGTCACCGTCCCGCGGGTGGCCAGAAGCGGGGTGCATGTGGCACCTGGGGGCACGGTGGGCTGGCAGCGCTGAGGGAGCGGTGGGGCTGGGTGGCTTTAGGGGCCTTTCCCAGCGTTAAGGATTCCCGATCCCACGGCTCCAAGGCCGGCGCCGCGGAGCCCGCGGGGCTCGGTCCGCGCCGAGCACGGGGACCGGGCGCTCTCACCTGAAGCTGACCACGGGCCCAACCTCCGAGAAGATGTCCTTCAGCTGCTCCTCCGTGGCCTCATAGGGGATGTTCCCCACTGCGGAGACAGACGGTGCCGCCGGTCAGCGCGGCGGGTACCGGCCCCGACGGCGAGGGGCAAAACCCGCCGGCCCCCGCCTGCCCTGCCCGTCCGTGCCCGTTTCCCCGTGCAGGCGGCCTCACCGAACACGGAGCGCAGGGAGCGATCCACGGCGGGGTCCCGCACCGACAGCCCCGCCATCGCGCCGCCCGCGCCGCTTCCGGTCCGCACCGACCGCGCTTCCGCTTCCACGGCGGCGGCACTGCCAAAGCGCTCCGGCGGGAAACCGGCGCTGCCGGCCGCGGGCTGCGTGCCGGCACTGCCCGGGACTGCGAACGGGATTGCCCGGGACCGGGAACGGGACTGCCCGGGACTGCGAACGGGACTGCCCGGCACCGGGAACGGGACTGCCCGAGAGAGACCGCGAACGGGACTGCCCGGGACTGCGAACGGACTGCCCGGCACCGCGAACGGGACTGCCCGGGACTGCGAACGGACTGCCCGGGACGCGAACGGGCTGCCGCGGCCTCGGGGATCGCCGGCACCGGGAGCGGCCTCGGGGATTCCCTCGGCCTCAGGGATGCCGCTCGGGCACAGCCCCCGCCGGGCCTGACCCCGCTCGGGGCTCGGCAGGATGGCAGCCGCGGAGGTGCCCGCGCTGGCCACGGAGCGCAGGTTCGCCCAGCGCCTCAGGTGAGGCCCGGGGCAGCGAGGGCAGCGGGGCCTGTGCTCCGGCACGATGGGGGCAGCGGTCCCCGTGCTGTCCGGGGCCAGCCGCGGGCTCTGAAGGGCCTCTCCCCGCAGGGAATGCCTGGAAGAGGAGCGGCTCCTGGACGGGCGCTACCGGCTGCAGCGGCTGCCGGGCGGCCGCGTGGCCGTGCCCGTGCTGGAGGAGAAGCTGTCGCAGCTCTGCCTGCCCGCGGAGATGCCCTGTGAGCTGCTCCGGATCCAGGTTGGCACAGCCGGCCGGCTGCGAGCCCCGGGCGCTGTCTGAGCCCCGGGCCCCCGCGGCACGGCCCTGCCGCAGGATGCTGTCCCCTCCAGGGCCGCCCGCCGCCGCCCGCCGGCCCGCAGGCTGCTCCAGGAGCTGCGGCGGCTGCTGCCCGCCGGCTGGCCCGCCGAGCTGGAGCGGGACCTGCCGCACGCCTGGCAGCGCCACGGCGACCTGGTGCTGCTCAGCGAGGACAGCTTCAGCCACCCGGCCTGGGAGCGCCTGGGTAAGCGGTGGGACACGGGTGAAAAATCCAACCCTACAATGCTAACAAAGATTCGTAGGCAACGGTGTGTTTATTCACAGTGTTGTGGATGCCCTTTAATGGACATGCACACTTCTGAAAACTCTTATCTTTTTCTATTGTCATGACTAATTTCTAGTCAGGGTAATAAAAATTATTATGAAAATTCTAGTCGAGGTAATTTCCTGCATGCATAGATTTTTACAATAGGTTCATGCATATTCATTCTGCTGATTTTGTGTTATATTTACAGTTAGTTACACTTCTTCTTAGTTTTTGTTAGAAGGTATAGAAAACTTTTGGGTTACTCTGCTTTTTAAATCTGAGGAGTTTTTCTTATCTCTTCTTTAGTTAAGACAACTTTGCTAGTGCTGTAGTTACTAGACTAAATAACATATTTCACTTAAGTTAGTAAGCTCAAAGGAGTGCATTTTACTTAAATCTAAACGAATTTCTACTCTGTTAAATTTTTACTGTGTCTCACTGCCCGTGCCTCCCGGGGTGCTGTGTTGCAGGCCCGGAGCTCTGGGAGACGGTGGCCTCGGCTCTGGGGGCCCGGCGGGTGGCCAGGCGAGGACGGGTGATGCCGGACGGGATGCGGACCCCCAGCGTCACCCTGCTGCTGGGCCAGCACGGCTGGGTGGAGCGCGTGGACAACGGCATCAGGTGGGCAGGAGATGCAGGATGCGGCTGCTGGGGAAGGGGCTGCCCTCACCATCTGGACCGGGTCTTCCAGGTACACCTTCGATGTGACCAAGTGCATGTTCTCCCCGGGCAACATCACGGAGAAGCTGCGTGTGGCCTCACTGCCCTGCTCCGGGGAGGTCGTAGTGGATCTCTATGCAGGTAATGGGGACGGAGGAGGAGCAGGACAGGTGCTGATGGCATCCAGGTAGACAGGAAATGTCATTTCCAGCTTGGAATGAAAAATACTCAGGCTTAGAGCTCCTATCTTGTCTGTGAGGCCTTCAGCTACACTGGCACTGCTGTCCTGCCTGTGTCCCTGCAGCCTCTGGACACTTAAGATGTCCTGTTCTCAGGCTCTGTGCCTTGTGCTGGTTTGGGGAATCACTTTGATCCAGGGGAAAGATTTGCCACTGTTTGTGCTTAAGGAAGTTAGTGCTTCCAATTTGTGCCACACTGAAAGGACAATGCCACCCACAAAATTCCTGTGGATTAATCAAAAGAAATGGTAATCTGGACACTTCTGCAGAGCCAGACAGATCTCAGCCTGGTGGCCAAAGACTGAAGGTTAAATAATCTCCTCTAAACATTTTTCAAGGCAAAATTTGCTTTTGCACAAGAGGGAGGGATAAATTCCCATTTTTCCAGTGTTTGGGCTTTTTCCAACCCAGAGCAAAGCCGAGTTGGAGAGGCAGGGTGTCAGTGTGCATCCTGCCCTGCCCTCGGGGAGGAGTGTGGCTCTCTGGAGGTCCCTGTCCCCAGTCAGTGCCACCTCCTGCCTGCAGGCATCGGCTATTTCACGCTGCCGTTCCTGGTGCACGCGGGAGCCGCCTTTGTCCATGCCTGTGAGTGGAACAGCCACGCCGTGGAGGCCCTGCACAGGAGCCTGGTGCTGAACGGGGTGCGGGACCGCTGCCGCATCCACGGCGGGGACAGCCGGCAGGTGAGCGCTGCCGCCGGCCGCGGGAGCCCTTCCCGCGGGCATCCCCTCACCTCCGCTCTCCTCCCAGCTGCAGCTGCGCGATGTGGCGGACAGGGTGAACCTGGGGCTGCTTCCCAGCTCGGAGGAAGGCTGGCCGGTGGCCTGCCGCGTCCTGAAGAAGGACACGGGCGGGGTTCTGCACATCCACCAGAACGTGGAGGCTCGCCCGGCGCACGCCGCGGTGCTGCTGGCTGAGCGGGGCTCCGCAGAGGCAGCCAGCTCCGCGGGAGAGGCGTGGCACTCGGTGGAGCACAGTGAGCAGGAGGCACTGGGGGCCAGGCTCAGACCCGAGTGGCAGCGGTGGGCTGCAGCCACGGCCGCACGGATCCAGGGGCTGCTGGCAGAGCTGCACGGGCGGCCGTGGTGCTGCAGCGTTCTGCACATCGAGGCAGTGAAGTCCTACGCACCACACGTGCATCACCTCGTGCTGGACCTTGAGTGCCGGCCTGTGCTGCCCGTTTAGCGGGACATGGGCGCCGCTGGGGCTCCAGATCCCTTTGAAGGCTGGTGTCAAAGCACCAGGGGCAGAGAGATGCTGCCAGTGTGTCCTGCTGCCAGCCTGGATGTGCCTTATGTTCCCTAGTTCCCAGGTGGCAGCACTGCCCAGCAGTGCCTCCCTGTGCCAGGGCACCCAGGGTTGTGCTCCACACGGCAGATCCCTTCATGATCCAGACAAAGATGGAGCAAGCTGGAGTGCAGAGTGCCAGTGTTCTGTCCTGGCTCTGCCAGCTGCTGCCCAGGTCTTGGACACGTGGTAGCACCTTGAGCCCCATTTTCACACAGGAGAGAGCCACAGTGCTGAGAAACCTTGGGTTCCTGCTGGGTTCATTTCGGCAGGTCAGGGACAAGCTTGGTGCTTGTATTTAGCAGCATGCTTTTTTAATGTACTTGAAGCAAGTCTGTTCATCCTGTTTCCTTCCTATCTTTTTTTCAGAAATAAAGATGTTTCTCACCACCTCTTGGTGTCCAGTCAAAACGTGAACTTTGGAGCAAGCATGGGGGTCTGGCCTGGGGACTTTGGGTCCCAGGGTGGTGTGCGGAGGGGCTCAGGGAGCAAACAAGCCCAAAGCCCTCTGCATATTTATTGTGTACTCCCGATGGAGCGAACCCCTGCCCCACAAGGAAGTTCCCGCTGGCCCTTTGATGTCTCCGTGGTTTTTTCCACTATCAGTGTCCCATCACTTCCCACAGGGCTGGAAGCCTCCGGCTCTCCCATCCCTGGGGCGCGGCCGAAAGTGTGGGCAGAGCCGCGTCCTCTCGTTTGCCTTGGGGCTGCACGCAGGTGGCTCCGCGCTGTCCTGCGTGGCGAGCAGCCGCCTCCCCGCGGGTGGAGCCCCACGCCTCGGCCAGCCGCGAGTGCTCGGGCTCCCCGGTGCTGTGCTGCGGGGGGCAGGGACGAGGCGCCCTGCGGGGACGGTATCTCTGCCACGAAGGACAAGGGCAGGGCTGGAGCCTTGCGGCGGGAGGACGCCACGGCCGCGGCCCTGGGCTGCTCCGCGGGCACGCCGGGGAGTCCCCCGCAGTTCGGGTGTCGGTGCGCTCTCTGCTCGTCGGGAGAAGCCACCCACCCAGTCAGGGCCATGGGGCACCGGGGAAACCGGCCCGCGGGGCTGGAGCCGCAGCTGTTCCGGGGCTGCTCGGGCGGGGAAGGGCTGGAGGGAGCGGGCACCGCCTCCCGCACGGGCCGCCCCGTCCGTGCCGCAGGTGCGGCCGCCGCGGCTCCTTTAAGGCACCGGCGCCGCCCTCCGCTGCCGCTGTCCCCTCCCGCTGCCGGGAGGCGCCGGCCGGAGCCGCTGCAGGTACCGGGACGGTCGTGGGATCGGGCGGGGGTACCGAGGGTTCCTCCGCGGACGGGGCAGGACGGGGGTCCCTCGGCTGCAGGGGAGTCGGGGGTAGCCAGGGGTCCCTCTGTGGTCCGGCGGTCCAGCCGCGGTGTCCCGGGCGGGGGCAGTTCCCAGCCCCGGTGGCCGCGCTGCGAACGCGGCGCTCCCGGCCCCGGATCCCACTTTTCCCGACAGAGAGGAGCCTGGGGTCCGCCCCGCCGCCCCCTCCTCCCCGAGGGCCGCCGGAGCGCGGCTGCGGGCACAGGAAGGTCCCTGCCGGTTCCGCCGGGCCGGGCGGGAGCGGGGAGCGGTGCAGCCCCCGAGCCAGCGCCGCGGCTCCGTCCCGGCTGGAGCGGCCGCGGCCGCCCGGCTCCTGGTGCCGCCGCCTGCGAGCCGGATCCGGCCGTGCCGCCCTGGTGCGTGTCCGCTCCCGGCGGCTCCTCGGGCTCGGGCAGCTCCGAGCCCCGCGGCGTTCGTGGGAGGGGCGGCCCGGGGCGGCTCCTTCCTGCCGGGGCTGCCCGCGGGTGCTGCGTGTCAGCCCGGTCCCACGGAGCCGGCTGAGGTCAGCGGGGCGGCGGGGCTGGCCGGCGGCCCGAGCCCAGCCCGGGGCAGGGCGGCGGAGGCGGCGGGCGGGCCGGTGTCCTGGGTGCCGCCAGCGCCGGGTCCAGCCCCGGCAGCGGGCGCGGGGCACCTCGCGGGGCGCGACCCGCGCTCAGCAGCTGGCATGTCCCTAGCTGGCGTGCGCTGAGGGCCAGCCATCGCGGGCGCAGCGATGTCGGAGGCTGTGGACCTGTCCTTCCTGTCGGACGTGGAGAGAGATCTGATCCTGCAGGTCCTGCAGCGCGACGAGGAGCTCCGCAAGGCAGAGGAGAGGAGGATCAGGTGCGAACGCGGCTGGAGCTGGGCAGGAGCTGCCTCCCCGCTATGCTCTGGAGGCGGGTGGATGAGCGAGAGCGTGGGTGACGGGTGTCGCCGGGGTCCCGGGGTGCCTCTCACCGCTCCCGGTGTCGGCTCTGGGCAGGCGCCTGAAGAACGAGCTGCTGGAGATCCGGCGCAAGGGAGCCAAGCGGGGCAGCCAGCGCTACAGCGAGCGGACCTGCGCCCGCTGCCAGCAGAGCCTGGGCCGCGTCAGCCCCAAGGCCAACACCTGCCGGGGCTGCAACCACTTGGTGTGTCGGGACTGCCGTTCCTACAGCCCCGGCGGCTCCTGGCGCTGCAAAGTCTGCACCAAGGAGGCGTGAGTAGCCAGGACCAGTGGCAGGCACATTGTGCACATGCCTCCTTTCCCCTTCCTCCTCTCAGTTGCCTCAACTTGTTGCCCCATAGCCAGCCTTTCCTAGCCTGGCTGGTCCTCCCCAGTGCAGGGCAGCTTGCTCTGCTGTCACTCCTGTGTTTGGGTGATGGAAAAATGGGTCATACCCCTCTCTTGTGTCTCCTTCATGTCCTGCTCCTTCACCTGAACTAACTGCAGCATCCCCCTGTGCCCTTGCACAGCTGTGTTCCAAGCACCCCAGGCTTCCTCCCTTTTGGCTTCCTCTGTCCTACAAAACTTGCCTTGCTGCCGTGTTTGCTGAGGATGTAGCTGAGCCTGTCAACTGCCCGGTGAATGGTCCCTGCCCAGTCACCTGCTGATTTTGCCCATTGTGCCTGTGTTCTCGGGTTGTGGCAGCACCGAGGGTGGGTTGGGGCACAGCTGACAGTCCCTACTGCCCCTGACTGCCCCCACCACCCCTGCCCTGCAGTGAGCTGAAGAAGGCAACGGGTGACTGGTTCTATGACCAGAGGGTGAACCGCTTTGCCAACCACCTGGGCAGCGACATGGTGCGGCTGTCCCTGCGGCACAGGCCGGCAGGTAGGGGTGCCACAGCAAGGCCTTCTCCCACAGCCCAGCCACGTGGGATGCTCCAGCTTTCCCCAGTGCATCTCTGCCCAGTGTGGAGCTGGATGGGAGCAGCTCCTGCTCCAGGCAGTGAGCTTGGAGCAGTGCTCCTCATGATGCCTCTGTTGCAGCCAACAAAAGAGAGACTGTGGGATATACTCTCCTCCAGAAAGCCCAGCTCAGTGAGCCTAAAAGCTCCTCTGCAGTCCGGCAGCCGAGCCCCCCTGCACCCCGGGAGGGGTCCAGGTAGGAATCCCTGCTGTCCCCTGTGCTCCAGGCAGCAGCTCTCATCTGCTGCAGGTTTGAGAGGAAGCTGCTGCCCTGTGCGGATCATCGGTGGTGCAGGAGCTCTCTCAGACCGACCTCCTCACCAAACAGGACATACCTGTGGTTTTGCTTGTCTGCAGTTTGTTTCCAGATGCCTCAGACCCTAGGGATGGCAAAAGCGACACAGAGTCCATGGAAAACATGAGCCTGGACAGCTACAAACCTAGTCCTGCTGATGTGGGTGGCAGGTGAGAGGATCCCAGGGGGGCTTGTCTTTGGCAAGACTGGCTGGCAGAGGATGGGACCTTCATCTGAAGTGTGTTTTTCTCAGTCTAGTAGGGGGAAGCTGGCTCCTCTGGCTGGGCTGAAGCCTGTCCCTGGGCAGGAAGGTCCTCTGCTCCCAGGCTGCTACGGGCAGCTCAAGTGGCGCTTCCTGGCCAGCACTTGCTCTGCCAGCTGTGCTTGTGGTCTGGGACAGACCTTTCTGTGTTTGCCACAGGAGGAACTCCCTGGAGAGAGCCATCCCTGGAAAACAGGTTGTTGGGCCAGCAGGACCTGCTTCCTCCAGCCTGACCCTCCCTCTCCGCTCCAAGAACGCGTTCTCTGACGGGCGGGTGCGTGACGCTGCTCTGACAGGCTCAGCCCTGTCCTGGGGCGTGGGGCTGGCACCCCACAGGGCTCCTAGCCCTGCCCTGCTCTCAAGGGACTCTTCCTTCCCAGGATGCCACCGTGGGGACCCGCAGCAGCACCTTGGTGGACGAGCATGAAATGATATTCCAGAAGAACCCCCGGCGGGTGGTGCGGCCTGCGGGTGAGAGATGCTGACACGGCCAGGGGTGGGCAGCTCCTCCTCCCTGGGCTGGGAAGGGCTTTCAGTGCAGATGGGAGAGGCTGGGGCAGCCTCTTGTGCAAGGGAGCAGCGGGGCTCTGCTGGTCCTGCTCCGTGCGCTGTTCACCGCCTCTCGTGCAGACTACACCAAGTCCGTGATCGACCTGCGCCCCGAGGACCTTGTGGGGGAAGGTGGCTCTTTGGGGGACAGGAGCAAGTCAGTCCCTGGCCTCAACACGGAGCTGGTGAGACCCTCAGAGTGCCACGGCTATGGCTGCCAGCTGGAGGAGCCGCTGGCTGGCTGCTCCCCACACCGGTGGCTTCTGTGTCCTTGCAGGAGGAGGAGGAGGAGGACATCGATAACCTGGTGGAGATCCACCGGCAGCGGGTGGCGCGGGGCAGCATGCGCAGCGGCACCTCCTCGGTGAGTGCCCGCGGGGGCTGTGCTCTGCTCCGCTGCAGGGAGAGGAGCCTTGTGTGTGGGGGCTTCTCCCCTAAAAGGGATCAAAATGCAGAGAGCCAGCTCTCCTCCAGGCAGCTGTGTGCGGGAGGGAGGCACTTGTGGCCATCCCCAGCCACGGGGAGGTGAGGGGGGCCGTGCAGAAGAGGCACAGGGGTAACCTTGCTGAGGATGAAGAGGGACTGTCAGGTGATCCTGTGCCAGCTCAGCCCTGCCCTGTTTTCCAGAGCACACTGGGGAGCATGGTCAGCATTTACAGCGAGGCCGGCGACTTCGGCAGCGTGGCTGTCACCGGGGGCATCTCCTTCTCCCTGAGCTATGAGCAGAAGACACAGACCTTGTTCATTCACGTGAAGGAGTGTCGCCAGCTGGCCTACGGGGACGAGGGCAGGAAGCGCTCCAACCCGTGAGAGCCAGGGGGGCGATGGCTGTTGCCACCACTGGTGGTGCCCAGCTGGGTTGTGGGTGCCCACCAGAGATGGGAGCTGTAAGTGGGAGGGTCCTGGTGAGGCACAAGGTTTGGGGTTGCCCTGGGAAGCTTGGAGGATTAGCTTTGGAGAGACCTTGTTGAAGTGCTGCCTTTTCTCCCTTCAGGTATGTGAAGACCTACCTCCTGCCCGACAAATCCCGGCAAGGGAAACGCAAGACAACTATCAAACGCAATACCATCAATCCCCTGTACAACGAGCTGCTGAAGGTCAGGGGGGCTGGGCTGGCCTGCAGGCACCCAGGGGATGCTGCTGCAACAAGTCAGGGGAGGGCTGAGCTCCCAACCCTGCAGCAGGGTCTCTGCAGAGCACCCGTGTCCAGAGCCTGCGCCCTGAAAGCTGCAAAATCCCTGCTCTGCTCTGGCTGTGCTGCCAGGCTCCAGTGCCACGGTGGGGTGGAGGCACAGCTGCAGATGTGGCTGTGACACAGGACACGTCCCTGGTTCCTGTGGCATTCCCCAAGCAGAGGCATCCCGGATATTTCCCTGGGTATTTCCTTCCCAGGTGAAGGCTTCCTGGCCCCTGGAGGCATGTTACGGTGGCAGGAGAGAGGGCAGCACGCCACAGGGACAGAGATAAGTTCTGGGGCCCAGGGCAGAACAACTTGGCACTGCCCTTTGCCATGCCTGTGGCTGACTCTGTCCCTGAGTGTAGCAGTGCACCTCTGAGGCCAGGCACTCTTGCACAGGAGGAAGTGAGAGCTGAGGTTTGGTTTTCAGGCTCGCACAGCCAGGTTTGCTGAGGTCTGTGCTCTGACCACCTGAGGCTCGGTGGTCTGGCAGAGCTCTGCTGGTGGTGGGATGGCCAGATGCCATGAGTCCTGGCTCCAGGGGCCATCTGCTGGGACAGCACAGGCTCCTGCACCACTGCCTGGCACTCTGAGGTGTTGGCAGGCGTGGAATGAAAGAAGAACGGGCTCCTGTGCGCATCCACTGCTGCTCAGACCTGTCTCCTCTCGTGCTCCGGAGCTGATGGAATCTGCCAGGCCTGCCCCTGTCCTCTGCTGCCCTCACCAGTGGTTTTCTCTCTCCCCAGTATGAGGTTAACAAGTCCCTCCTGCTCGCGAGGACGCTGCAGTTCTCGGTGTGGCACCACGACCGCTTCGGCCGCAACACGTTCCTGGGGGAGGTGGAGGTTCCCCTGGGTGCCTGGAACTTCGAGAGCCACCTGGAGGAGTTCCTGCCCCTGCATGGCAAGGTGTGCCCGTGCTGCCCACAGCCTCCCTTGCCTGGTGCTCTTGGGGTATAGGCCTCGGTGGGCAGAGTGGTGTGGAGACCTCAGCTGAGCATTGCCAAAAGGCTTTGCCAAATCAAATATTTGGAGGTGTGAATACCCCAGATGCAGACAGCAGTGCTGTTGTAGTAAAAAAGGGCAGATCTTCTGCCTTGAGCCTAGCTTCCCTCTCCTTGTCAGGTGATTAGGCCAAAATAAGTTCCCAAAGGAGCTGGGCTGCACTGGTGATGCTGGGGAGAGTTTGCAGGCATGTGTGCCAGCTCAGACACATCTTGGAGAGGCCCAGTCCTTGTCCCAGCCTGGAGGTGCTGCTCACCAGGCTGTCACTGTGTGTGCTGTGACTTCTCTGCAGACCTTGGTAATTCTCACCTCTGCAGGTTGGGGCAGATATTGCTGGTCTCCACCAGTACAAGGGGGAGCTGGTTGTCTCCATGAAGTACATCCCATCTGCCAAGCATCCTGGGGCTGGGAATGGCAGGAAAGGTAAGTGCTGAAGCTCCAGGAGCAGTGTAGCCCTGCAGGGGCTCCAGGAGCAGTGTAGCCCTGCAGAGCCTGCTCGTGGCCATGCAGGCTGGCTCTGGATGGGTTCTCAGGTGGTGTCTCTGCAGCCTTCTCCTCTGCAGTGCCTGCAAAGCTGCTCTGGGTCAGGGCAGACCTGGCTGTCCTCAGGCTTGATCTCTGTCCCTGCATGAAGCAGTTTTGTCTGCCTTTGCCCTCAGCAGGCAGGGCCAGTACAGGAGAAGGCAAGAGGAGATGCCAGTCCAGGCTCTGCACCTGCCTCTGTGATGAAGGGTGCTCAGCAGGAGCTTTCCAGAAGTTTGCCCTGGTAGAAATTAAATTTGATTCATTTCTACTGTGTTGGGTTTTTCCTAGGCAAAACAGGAGAAGGAGGTGAGCTCCAGGTCTGGATCAAAGAAGCCAAGAACCTGACAGCAGCCAAGTCTGGAGGGACCTCAGACAGCTTTGTCAAGGGGTGAGCGAGGGTCCTGGGGTTGAGGAAGGCATTGTCCTCCCTGGCTGTATTCCCAAAGCTGCTGGGGGCCTGGAGAAGGGCCCCTTGCAGAGTGCCACGGTCCTTGTTCCTGAGCCGTGGCAGGAAAGGCAGGGCGGGGGGTTCCAGGCAGCTCCTGGGGTGCTGCGGTGCCCCAGCCCCCAGAGCAGGAGGCAGATGCCCGCCTGCTGCTCACCCAAGGGGCTGCTTCCCCAGCTACCTCCTGCCACACAAAAACAAAGCCTCCAAGAGGAAGACGCCCGTGGTGAAGAAGACCCTGAACCCTCACTACAACCACACCTTTGTCTACAACGGTGTCTCGCCCGAGGAGCTGCAGCACATCTGCCTGGAGCTGACGGTCTGGGACCGGGAGCCGCTGTCCAGCAACGACTTCCTCGGGGGTGTCCGCCTGGGGGTGGGCACTGGTGAGAGCCGCGGGCCCCTGGCACTCCGGGCAGCCACGGCCCCGCTGGGCGGCTGCGCTGCGGGCGCCAGGCTGCCCCAGCAGAGCTTCCCATCCCTTCCCCAGGCGTGAGCAACGGGCAGGCTGTGGACTGGATGGACTCCACGGGCGAGGAGCTGAACCTGTGGCAGAAGATGTGCCAGTACCCGGGCTCCTGGGCGGAGGGGACGCTCCAGCTCCGCTCCAGCATGGCCAAGCTGAGGCCCTAGGCTGTGGCACCAGGACTGGCACTGCTGTCGGGAGCTGTGCCTACCGCACAGCCTGGCAAGGCTGCCAAATACGCCTTGGTTTTTTTTTTTTTTTATTATACTTTAATAAACATGACCTTCTCTAAACAGGCTTGGGCAGAAAGTCTTCTTGGCCTAGCTTTGTTTAAAGGGTTTTCCTCTCGTCATAAGCCTTGTACCAGATTTCAGGCTGAATTGCAGTGCTCATGGACCCTCCCTTCTTTTCCCCCAGGCAAAAGGCTTTGAAATGTCATTGTGTTTGTATTTCTTCCCATTCTTTTTCCTACCACCCCGTTCCAGAGTCTGCTGTCTCCTTGTCCTCTCCACCCTCTTCCATACACAGCCCAGCCCTGGGTGGATTGGAACTGTGTGGGGTCAGCCTGGGAGGTTGGGGGTTGTGGTCTCCAGGAAACATTTGTTTCTCAGGCCTCTCAGGGACACATGTGCCAGCACTGACTTTTTATACAAATCTATTTATTTCAAGTTAATATTCTACTGCCAAAGCAGTTCCCAGAAAGGGTTTCCCGTGGGTGGTGGGAGAGGGAGTGACTGGCAGGGGAGATGGCAAGCCCTTTAGGGTGGACTGCATGCTGGCTGGCTGCTATGGGCTCTGCTGAGCGTGGGGCCATTTGCCTTTGATCAGGGCTTTCAGAGTGGGAGGCATCAGGTCCAGGCTGTGCACAGGGTGAGCCGTGGAGAGGCTGAAGCTGCTTGCTAGAGGCTGTCGTGCTGCTGGCCAGCCTGCCCTCCCTGCCCTGCCGCTCTCCTCTGGCTCCCCGGCTCTCCCCAGCCCTGGGATTTGAGCAGGGGCACTCCAGGGTCTCCCAGCAGGGTCCTGGTTGGGCTGAACCATCCCCCAGCTGGAACAGCTCCCGGCTCTGGGCAGCGGGACGCTGCTGGCACGCAGTCCCTGCTCACCTCCGTGTGCCAGAGCAGCCAGAGAGGGGCTCCCTTCCCGGAGCTCCTTGGCACCCCGCTCCTCTGCAGTGGGCGACTAGAAAAGCAGCCAGGAAGGCGTCCGTGCCTGGGGCAGGGCGGGGGTCACTCGCAGGGGTCCCCGCCCTGTGCCCGCCGCGCCGCCTCGCGCTGGCCCAGCAGGTAGGTGTCGATGAAGACGAAGAGCTCGTCGGGGCTCACCGGCGAGATGAAGCGCTCGCGGTCGGTGCCCGCCTTGTCCAGCAGCACCGCGTTGAAGTGTGAGCGTGTGAGGTGCAGGAAGCGCCTGCAGGGGCAAGGGGGGTCTCTGCTCAGGGCTGGCACTGAGGGCTGAGCCTGCCCGCCTCTTGCAACCACGCTCAGGTCCTCCTGGAGTGGCTCTGAGCTCTGGGAAGCTCTGGTGGCACTGCATTCAGACTTGCAGGGGTCCCCCCGCTGCACGAGCCCCTCTGGTGCAGCAGAAAGGGGCTGTTCGTGAGCCCAGCTGCAACCTCATGCTTTGCTATTGCTAGAGGCTTTCCCTGTCCCCTTGAATAGGCACCTGCCTCTGCAGGACAGCCCCACCTGCCCTACCTGAGCTCCTCGATGATGCCAAGGGACAGCCGGTGCTCCCGGATGCGTCCCACCTCGTGTGGGGGCTGCCCCACCAGCTCCACGGTGGTGACGTGGCGCAGGTCCAGCCCGCAGGCAGCTTGCTGCAAGGAGGGGACAGACAGTGAGGGGGTGCTGGATGCAGAGGTGGGGAAGGAAGAGCAGGAAGCTCTGCTCACCTGCAGCATGGAGATCTGCATCTTGTAGTAGCGGTTAGAGGGGTCGGGGGCCGAGATGACCAAGAGGCGGCGTTTCTCGTGGAACTGGTCCAGCAGGCTGGCGGCCGAGTTCACATCCGTGTTGATCTGCATGGCTGGGGCACGACACCAGTGCGTGAGGAGGTGCCATCGTGCTCCCATCACCCCTCCGAGCCGTTGGGCAGCGTCCCCCAAAGCTTTGGGCATTGCCAGTCCTGCCCTGCCCGCACCACTTACGTGCACAAAGGGGCTGGGAGCCCGTCCACTGCTGGCTGGACTGGCAGACCCGCAGGGAGGTGCCCTGGTGCTCGAAGCCCCCGTCGCACAGGTACTCGCAGGTGGCACCGTAGTTGTTGCCGTCGGAGGTGCAGGAGATGTACCCGTTCTGTGGAGGCTTCAGGACAGGGCAGCGCCTCACTGCAGAGGGAGAAGCGGTGCGAGGGCTGGGGGTGATGGGTGCCCAGCTGTGGGTGTGATGGGTGCCCAGCAGCGGGTGCGAGGGCTGCAGCTGGCGCAGCAGCGGGTGCGAGGGTGGAGCTGGGGCAGCAGCGGGTGTGAGAGCTGGGGGTGATGGGTGCCCAGCAGCGGGTGTGAGAGCTGGGGGTGATGGGTGCCCAGCTGTGGGTGTGATGGGTGCCCAGCAGCGGGTATGAGAGCTGGAGCTGGCGCAGCAGCGGGTGCAAGGGTGGAGCTGGGGCAGCAGCGGGTGCGAGGGCTGGGGGTGATGGGTGCCCAGCAGCGGGTATGAGAGCTGGAGCTGGCGCAGCAGTGGGTGCGAGGGTGGAACTGGGGCAGCAGCGGGTATGAGAGCTGCTGCGCTCACCGTGGACGCGGATGCTGAACTTGCAGCTGGCGCGGTTGTAGGCCTGGTCGTGGGCGGTGTAGCGGATCACATGCTCTCCTTCAGGGAATTCGGAGCCGGGCTCGGGGCCCTGCAGCAGCACCCTGACCCAACAGACGGGTTTCTCCAGCAGCAGCCCGGGCAGCGGCACCCGGCACGGCCTCCAGCCCTCGCTGGCGGTGCCCGCTGCGTCCCTGCCCTCACCTCTTGATGACACCGTCGGCAGAGTCCCTCACGCGGGGAGGGTCCCAGTAGACGGTGGCAGTCAGCTTGCCCGGCTCTGCTATGCGCTCCCGGGAGTCTGGACAGCGGATTTTGGGAGGCTCCAGATCTGCCCAGAGGGAGGAGAGAGATTCATGGAACCTGTGGGTGCTTTGGCTGAGCTATGAGAGCGGTGTTGAGCCACCCCAGGCACTCGGGAGCCACCCAGACCTGCTGCAAAACCAGCGCCGAGTGCCCCAGTCCGGGCTGGTGCCGGCGCCTCGGGGCTAATGGCACTGCGGGGAGCAGCAGGGACAGGGCCCCAAGGCAGGGAGGTGCAGGAAATGTCCGGGCTGGGTGTGCGTGACACCTGCAGACTCCCCACGCAGGTGATGATCCCCGGCATGCCCAGCAGCGTGGGGTGGGAATTTACCTACACAGATTGGCTCGCTCCCGCTCCAGCGCCCATCCTCCATGCAGATGCGGCTCCGGTCGCCCTCCAGCTGGTAGCCGGGCAGGCAGGTGTAGTCACAGCGGGAATCCATCTGCACGCCCGCCGAGCACGCGTAGGAGCCCCGCAGCACGGCTGGCAGCGCGTGGCACCGGATTTCTGCGACGGAGACAGCAAAGAGGGGAGGGGAGCGGCTGCCGGCCGGTGGGTGGGCACCGGCGCCGTGGGTGCCCGGGGGTGCCGGCAAGGCGAGGGCCGGGGCACTCACGTCGGCAGTACGCCATCCCCGACCAGTGGCGGCTGGGCAGGCAGCGGACGGCGCTGGGACCCACCAGGCGGTACCCGCGGGTGCAGCTCAGCTCGCAGCGCGTCCCCAGGCTGCTGCGGTAGGAGCTGCCCCGGGGGGAGTAGCAAGCGGCCTCCCCGCGGTGGATGCGGAGCGTGGCGCACCACTGCGGCACTGCGGGAGAGCAGGGACGATGGAGGAATCTGCCTCGCTTTCCCCGCGAGGACACAAAGGACGGGTTGGGTGCTGTTACCTCGATGGTAATCCAGGGCAGGCTCAGGGGGGGGTTCTTCTGCGTACACCTCGTTGGTGTGACTCTCCAGGTAGTAGCCAGACCCTGGGAGGAAGGAAGAGACGAGCTGGCTGCAGGGTAGCTCATGGCTGCAAAACGTCCCGCAGCTGCCAACGAGCAATCCCAGCCCTGGGCAGGCCCTGTCCTTGGGGCTGCTGTCAAGGGTTAAACCGGGCAGGCCGCGAGCCCCGTCCCCGGTGACACGGAGTGCGCTGGCACCGGCCGCAGACAGCGGCAGCGGCAGCCGAGCTCGTGGCAGGAAACGGGCGCTGGCACGGAGTGGGCTGGCACCGACCCCCAGCTTCGTGCTGCCGGGAACTGCTTCCACCCGCTCCCATGGCACCGTCACTGCCATGGGGCACCCCCAGGGAAGGGAGAAAGCTGCCCCTTCCTGCCCTTTCCTGCCCCTTCCTGCCCTTTCCTGTCCCTTCCTACCCTTTTCTGTTCCTTCCTGCCCCTTCCTGCCCTTTCCTGCCCCTTCCTGCCCTTTCCTGCCCCTTCCTGCCCCTTCCTGCCCCTTCCTGCCCCTTCCTGCCCTCTCCTGCCCTCCCCTCACCAAGGAAGGGATGCACGCTGCCCGGGCGGGGGCTGGTGGGGATGCAGCCCCCTGCCCGTGCTCCAGGGAAGGCTGGAGCTGCTGGAGGCGCTCGGCCGGAGCCGCTGGCCCCTCGCCACGCGTGCTGCGTGAGGACAGCCCCGCGCCGTCCTGGCGGCCCTGCCTCCACGGCAAGGTGCTGCCGGTGGGGAGGGGGCCGTGCAGGGGGAGAGCTGAGTCCTTCCCCGGCCCCCCGGCGCCTCGGCCGGCCGCGGCATTCCCCAGCACTGAGCTCACGTTTCCGCCGCGTTTCCGCTGCCCCCGCCGGCGCTGCCCCCTCCCCGCCGCCCCTCCGGCCTGGCGGGGATGCTCGGCCTGGCGGGACCCCCGGCAAGGCGGCAGCACCCCCCCTGCACCCCACGGCCCCTTGTCTCTGCTCCGGGTTTTGGGAAGGGATATCCGCCGACGGTGCGAGCAGCAGCCCCGCCGTCACGGGAAGGAAACTTCATTAGGAATCTTTCCAAAATGAACTTTACTACGGAGCACTGCTCCCCAAGCCGCCCGCCCGTTTTCACAGTGCCTTTATCCAGCTGCCCTTTCACGCTGCCGTGCATCCTCGGGGAGCAGAGGAGCAGGGACGGCACCACGGGGGCGGCGGTGGGGACGCGTCCGTGTCCTGGGGAACGAAGCTGTGTCCCGGGGGGGCTGCCAGGACTCCCTCCAGGGCCATGGGGACAGAGTGCACCGTGTCCCCGCAGGCAGATGTGCCATTTAATGGTAATGTTTCCTTCTACTGCAAGTGCTGCCTTTTCCTGCTCACCTGGGGCCAGATCAGCTCTGGCCGCACAGGAACATCCCCAGGCGTGCTGGCAGCGTGGCCAGGGGGCGGGATGGAGGCAGGGAAGGGGAAATCCCCCCAAACAAGGCCTGTGACCTGCTCGTCCAGCCATGGGGCGGTCAGGACTGTGTGCTCCGTCCAGCAAACATCTGCGGCCGGCGGCCCCTGGGAGCAGGGAGCCAGCGGGAAGCGGCGCTCCCGCAGGCGGGGGTGTGAGGAGCACAGGCCGGTTTTCTGCTCCTCCCTGGATGCCTGCCAGCATGCCCTCCGTTCCTGCCTGTACCCACAGCTCACCCGCACAGGCACCCCATTCCTCAGGCGCTGATGCTCTCCCGGCATCGCTGTTCGCGGGCATCCTCCATCCCTTCCCACGGGAGCAGAACTGCGAGCCTGCCACCCCCGGAGCCCGCCGTGCCCGCACCCGCCGGCACTCACCTTCGTGCCACGTGGATGACACCAGCCTGGCAAGGACGAGCAGCAGGACGGGGGCTGCCTGCCGCGCCATGCTGGGGAGCCGGGGGGCTGCGCTGGGCAGCCCACCCGCCGTGCTGGCTCCGGGAGCAGCCGCCAGCCAGCCCTGGCGAGGATGGAGAGCAGCTGGAGGCAGGATGACGGCCCCCTCTGTCGCCTTGTCACCGCACAGATGTCTGTCCCTCCTGCCTGGCCGCTCTGCTGGTGCTGAGCAAACTTGGCTGCCCATACCAAACATTCAAAAGCCGTGAGTCAGGCCCAAAACTATGAGATTGTAAAAAAAAAAAAAAAAAATAAATTCCAGGATCGCCCGTTTTCCAACGCGCCTCCTGCTTCTCCGGGGCTTTAAAAGGTTGTAAGAAGTTTTCTTCTGCAAGCAGAAGAGCCAGGAGCCTGTTTGGACACAGGGGCGAGCCAAACCGAGCCTGTGCCAGCCCTGACAGACTCCGGGAACGGGAGGCCTGCAGGGACGAGCACGAAACCGCAGGAGCCAGGTCCCCTTTCGCACCTCTTGCCAGGAGGGAGGGAGGGAGAGACCCCGCTGCAGACGGAAGGCTCCGAAACCGCTGCCGAGGCGAGCGCTTCCAGCTGGGGTCTGTTCCCTGCTGCAGCCCGGCCCCGGCAGGCAGAGGCAGCGGGGGCTGGGGCCGGGGGACGCAGGGCAGGAGCCGGGGCTGGGGGAGGCAGGGCAGGAGCCGGGGCTGGGGTCGGGGGAAGGCAGCGCAGGAGCCGGGGCCGCTGTCCCGCAGTCCGGGGTCTGGGGGAGGCAGGGCAGGAGCCGTGCCGCCCGGGACCGGGGCTCCGCCGGGCCGGGAGAAGCGAGGGGTGAGCCTGGCACGGACAGGTAGGAGCGCTGGCCGGGGACTGCGCAGGGGGCCGTGCTGCCGTCTCAATGGGCTAATTATGTGGCGGCCAGGCTGTGAGCGCGCTAATTAACGACAGACACGCTGTTCCGGGCAGGAGAGGCCAGCCGGGACGGGCTGCTGCTGCCGGTGTGCGGGGCCCGCAGCCCGGGGACACCCCCGGGACACCCCGGCAGGGCTCAGCCCACGGAGGGCAGGAAGCCCGGCGGTTGTTGGCGTGCTGGCAGTGCCATATGCGGGTGGTGCCATGTGCCGGTAGTGCCATGTGCTGGCAGTGCCATGTGCCAGGACGCGGGGTGTCTGTCCTGCTGAACACCTGCACAGGGCTGGGGCACACCAGGGCTGCAGCAGGAGAGCAGGGCCTGGCTGGCACCGCGCAGGAGCTGGCACGGGACAGGCAGGGGGTGGCACCGGGGAGGCAGGGAATGGTGGCATGGGTCGGGAAAGGGTGGCAGCGGGTGGCACCAAGCAGGCAGGTGACACCGGCAGGCAGTGACACGGGGGAGGCAGTGGGTGGCACTGGACACAGGGTGACACGGGCTAAGCAGGGAGTGGCACCGCACAGGAGTAGCAGGGATAGGTACGGGGTGGCACGGGGTAGGCAGCAGGACAGTCGTGACAGGGGACAGGCAGGAGGCGAGACGGGACCACGGGGTGTCACAGGAGAGGGGTGGTCGCGGACAGGGGGTGTCCCACGACAGGGATGTCCCAGGACAGGGGGTGACGGGCACAGGGGGTGACAGGGGACAGGGTTGTCCCAGGACAGGGGTGTCACGGAACGGGGTGGCCGGGGCGCCCCCTGCGGGCGGAGTGGGGAAGAGCACGGCGCCGGCTGGCGCGCTCGGTCATTTCCGTGAGCGCTCGGTCATTTCCGTGAGCGCTCGGTCATTTCCGCGAGCGCTCGGTCATTTCCGCGAGCGCTGGGGCCCGCTGGGGGCGTGTCCGGGGCGTGTCCCCGAGGCCCCGCCCTCCCGGCCCCGCCTCCCCCCGTTCCCGGTCCGGCCCCGCCGTTCCCGGTCCGGCCCCGCCGTTCTCGGTTCGATTCCGCCGTCCGCGGTCCGGCCCCGCCGTTCTCGGTTCGGCCCCGCTGTTCCCGATCCGGCCCCGCTGTTCCCGATCCGGTCCTGCCGTTCTCGGTCCGGCCCCGCTGTTCCCGATCCGGCCCCGCTGTTCCCGATCTGGTCCCGCCGTTCTCGGTTCGGCCCCGCTGTTCCCGGTGCGGCCATGGCGTCCCCGTCGCGGCGGCTGCAGACCAAGCCGGTGATCACCTGTCTCAAGAGCGTCCTGCTCACCTACACCTTCGTCTTCTGGGTGAGCGCCCGCGCTTTGCCCCGCGCCGTGCCGCGGCTGTGCCGCCCTGTCGCGACAGCTGCGAGCCGGCGCGGCTTTCCGCTCTCCCCGCCAGGTGTCGGGCATTGTGCTGCTGGCCGTGGGCATCTGGGGTCGGGTGAGCCTGGCCGTCTACTTCTCCCTGTTGGACGAGAAAGCCACCAATGTCCCGTTCGTCCTGGTGGGCGCTGGCACCGTCGTTGTCCTCCTGGGCACCTTCGGCTGCTTCGCCACCTGCCGTGGCAGCACCTGGATGCTCAAGCTGGTGGGTGGCCTGGGACAGGGCGGGATGGAGCCCCATCCTCTCCTGATCCATTCCGACCCACCCTGATCCATCCCGAAACATCCCATCCTATTCCTGTCTATCCCATCCCTACCCTACCCCGTCCCGTCCTGTCCTACCCCATCCTCTCCTCCTGCACTGTCCCCTCCTGCTCCATCCCATCCATCCCCTCCCATCCCATCCTTTCTGCCCGCAGTATGCCATGCTCCTGTCCCTCATCTTCCTCATCGTCCTGGTGGCCGCCATCGTGGGGTTCGTCTTCAGGCACGAGGTGAGTCTGGGTGGCCACTGCCGTGTCCCAGTGCTGCAGGGTGAGTTTGGTGCTGCTTTTAGCCAGGGCAGTCGCAGGTGTCACCAAGGGACAGAGGGGGGCTTGGGAGCAGTGCTTAGTTTAGCAAAAACAGGGTTAAAGCAGCACAGAGAGCAGCTTGGTCCATGTAAGGACCCAGAAGGACCAGCCTGGGTGCAGGGTCAGTCCAGCACAGCATCTTGTCCCTCCATCAGAACAGGCAGAGTAGCCCTGGACTGTAGTTTCTGACTTTGGTCTCTCTTCTGCAATAATTGCAGTAATTAAAGCTCCTGGGAGGGATTCTGTGCCTGCTTGGGAGGGAGCTGGCAGGGCGCACGTCCTTGTTATTACAGGCAGCATCCCTGCTGCCACAGTGCATCCAGCCTGCCCTTTAATACAGCCTCTAATTGCCTGCTGGCTGGGAATGTCTGCTGGCCACCGAGTCACTGCTGCCGTCCCCAGCGTGACTAATGCAGGAGGGACGGGGTCCTGGGGCAGGAGGGGCAGCACTGCCCTGAGACTGCCCTCTTACAGATACAGACAAGCTTTGAGAGCAACCTGGAGCTGGCCTTGAAGGACTACAACGTGACAGCAGACCAGCACAGCAAGGCCGTGGACACCATCCAGAGAACGGTGAGAGCCTGGGCTGGCAGCACCTGGGAGGGCTCCCCTGGCCTGGGAGAGCTCCCCTGTTCCAGGGTGTCCCAGCTGGGAGAGCTCCCCTGTTCCAGGGTGTCCCAGCTGGGAGGGCTCCCCTGTTCCAGGGTGTCCCCTCTGACCCCTGTGGCATTGCCATCCCAGCACAGCTTTGGCCTTTGGCAGGTGCTGGTGAGATGGGTGAGGCTGGGGCAGCCGTGGCATGGTGGTGGGACTAGGGTCAGTTCCCTGGTGTGAGCAGCTCCCCAAATGTGCTTCCCACTCCAGCTGCACTGCTGCGGGGTGCAGAACTATTCTGACTGGGAGAGGACTGAGTACTTCAGCCAGAGGGGCATCCCCCACAGCTGTTGCAAGAACCAGAACGACTGCTCGGAGGAAGATCTGAAAGACCCAAACAAGGCCAAGCTGAAAGTGTTTGTGGATGTAAGTTAAGCTCAGAAAAACCTGCCTGCCGGTGCTGGAGGTGGGAAGGGCAGGGATGGGTGTGTGGAGGAGGCCTAGTCTGTCCCTGGCAGGCTTGAAAGGAGAACTGCCCTGTCCATGCTGGTGTTCAGTGCTGCAGAGATTCCCCTGGAGTGGAGCTGGGGTAAGGGAATGGAACCCTCCCTCCTGTCTGAGGCTTCCCCACTCCTTCCTTTGAGATCAGGGCCCAGCCAGACCCAGGGCCTGGCCTTTGGGGATGTGTGTTTTGAAGAGCAGGTGAGTAAGGAAGGAGCTTTCCAGTGAAGTTTGTTTCGGCGGTGCTGACGTTCCCTTCCGTGCAAAGTCCTGAGCCGGTGGTGAGGGCTGTGACCTCATCCACAGGGATGGCTGAGTGATGCAAGGGCTCCTCTGATGAGTCACCTGGCTCAGGCTGGGAGCAGCCCAAGGGCAGTGCTCCCCTCCATAAGGCACCTGGGCTGGGACACTGGTGGGGGCAGCCCTGGTAGGGAAATGGTCAGCCAGGGCCCCCCTGCTGCCTGCACAGGAGCATCTTCCCCTGGAGCTGCCGGTGCTTTGGGGAGGAGCTGGTCTGCACTCCTGGGCTGGCAGCACTGGATCCACGTGCTTGCTTTGCTTCCTCTGCAGGGTTGTTTTTTCCTGGTGACGTCAACAATGGAGTCCAAAATGAGCGTTGTGGCCGGGATCTCCTTTGGCATAGCGTGTTTCCAGGTAAATCTCCCTGCTCTGGCTCGGGAGGAGTGCCGAGTGAAGCTAGCAAATCTCCAGAGGTATTTAATTTCAGTGCAAAGTCTGGTGTGTACAAAAGGCACAGTTGGTTTCAGTCAGGGAGGGGCAGCTCCTCTGTGGATTCCCCGTGGATTCAGTCTGGCTGCTGTGCAGGCCCCAGGGCTGGAACCCCAGCTCTATTTCCTTGTGCCCAGGTTTTTTTGGAAGGATCTCCTTTCTGAAACAGCAGACTCCAAGAAAAAACAAAGGGAGATGGACAAACTCTCTGTGCCTGCTGTTGGCAGGGAGGAAATCTGTGCCATTCCTTTTCCCACCCACCCACACCATTTCAGGAGGGTGTTTGGCATCGCTCCTGTGTGATGGGGTCACTGCGAGCGCTGGTGTGGCACCACTTGTGCTGGTGGCAGACCACCCTACCCTGCCCTAGTGTCCTCTCCCCCAGTGTCTCCTTCACTTTACTGTGCAGGGCTCTTCCTGCAGCAGCAGCAGCAGCGTGCTGGCAGCCCCAGCTCCAGCAGCTTTATCCCGGCAGGAAGCGGGAGGCCCCTGCCCCCGGCCGGGCCTGACGCTGGCTGGGGTTGGCTGGGGTTTCCCGAGTGCCGAGGGCTTTCCGAAGGCTGCAGGATGTGCAGCTGGCCCTCCCCCAGCTGCACTCTGTGGGCTCACTGGGCTCTGGTGCCCAGCAGCCAGCCTTGCCTTCCGAGGGCTCCGATTCTGCCTCGCCTTGCGCCGAGGTGCTGCTGGCCGGGGCTGCGGCTGGGGAGCAGCACCCTGCCAGGACACTGCTGTGTGAGCTTGTCCCAGTGTGCTTTCCATAACCATGGGCTGGGCTGGGGACAGGTGGCAGCCTGCAGCTCGTGGTACCGAGTGCTTCGGGAGAGCCCGAGAGCCGGAGCTGCTCCTCTCTGCCCGCTGCTCCCTGGCCGGGCTGGGCTGGGCTGGGCTGGGCTGGGCTGGGCTGGCTCACTGAGATGTGGCTGATACACGAGTCCTGAGCTGCACACACACTCTCCGCTGCAGCATGACCTCAGCTGATGGCAGGCTTGGGAATTGTAACCAGTTCTTAGCTTTTATTGCCCCTTCAGCAAGCTTGGCTGGTCACACATCTGGCAGGGACCCCTTGTGCTGATGTGCCTCAAACTTGGCTTGTGGAGGTCAGAGCCGTGCAGGATCTGGCCCTGGAGCCTGCACAGGTGCTGGGAGGATGTGTTGTGATAACAGAGCATGTTGTGATAGCAGTACTTCCTGATGTGAGAGCAGCAGCCTTGCTTCCCCGTGTCCTTGCAGCGGGGAGAGGTGCTGCCATTCTCCAGTGGTTGTATAATTGGCTGTGCCTCTCCTGGTATCTGTGTAATCTCTGCAATTACCATAAAACACTGGATGATTCGTGAAGCAGCTTGTAACGGGATGGGACCTGGAGCACCTCTTGTGAGGAGCTCGTTTAGTTGGTGTCTGCCAGGATCCCGTGCTTCAGGCACTTTTGGTGATTCTGAAGCAGGGTGCAGCAGCCCTTGTTGTGGTTTGTAAACCCCACTGTCCATCCTTGGATTTCATAAAACCCTGGGTCAGTTTGCCAGGTTTTCTCCTGAAAACACCTCTCCCTGGTTTTGGCTACCTCTGACACGTGGGGTTTGTTTTTTTTCTCTTTTCCAGTTGATCGGCATCATTCTCTCCTGCTGCCTGTCCCGGTACATCACCAACAATCAGTATGAGATGGTGTAGCTGGCCCCAGCACTCTGTGCCTGTGGCTGGGTATGTCTGTAAGCCTGGTGGGCTGCCTCTGCCCCCCTGGCTGCTGCTGGTCGCCCAGGGGGTGGGGGTACCACATCTGGGGGGTTTAGGGTTAGGGGGCACCTGCGAGACCGTGTCTGCTGTGTCATTTCCCCCTGTGCCATTTCCCCCTGTGTATAAATCCAACCTGCCTGCTGACACTCTGCTGTGTGCATTGCAGGGAATGGCTGGGGAGGACGCCTTCACCTCCAGTTTTCCTCTGGATGCCACGTTGTGAAATCTTGCTTTGAACTGACTGATCTTCTTCTCAACTAGCTCATAGAAAGGAGTGCAGCAGCTGTCCTGGTGCACTCAGGGACTTGTCCTGACACTACTCTGCTGTGCCACCGCCTGGGGTAATGATTGCTGTGCTGTGGTGGCTGCAGCCAGGGCGCTTGCCCCGGGTGCCACGCTGTGCTGAGCTGCTGTGCTGGTGGCCTCCGGTGTCCCAGTGCTCATCTTCAGTGCCTCCACTGGGAAAGAGATGCTCCCCTCCCTCGGGCAGCCCCCTGACATCCCCTCACTCTCCAGACACAGTTCTTCTCGAGACAGGGCTGTTAAATCACAGTCCTGCCTGCCTGAAGCCTTGGCTCAGCAAGGTTGTTGCCAAGCTGTCTCCTCCCTCCCCTGGGTTTTATATACTTTTTTATAGTTGGACTTCTTTAAGTACGGGCTGTAGTGGTTCTTTGTAAGCTGTAGTGAGGTTTGGTGATGTAGCTCCTGGTGCCTTTACCTTGGTAGGTGTCCTTGCACCGATTCAGCTGTGACTTGATTGTCAGTATTATATGCTGCTTCAACTCATTTTATGTATTGAGTAGAATTCTTTTTGTCCTGAGACACAATAAATATTAAGATATTTTACTCTATGAAAGCTCCTTGAATTTTCTTTTCATGTCCTGGAAATTCCTCTGCTTGAAGAGCAGCAAGTCCTCCTGGGGCTGATGTGCTGACTCTGGGCCAGCCAGGAACCTCTGGCCATTGCAGTTTGCATTCCTCCAACGTGCACTTCTGCTTGCAAATAACTTCTGTAATTGAATTTTCTTCATTACAGCGGTTGTGTAACAGTGCTGGAGCAGGGGCCTGGAGCACCCCAGTCCAGGAGCAGGGTGGGTAACTTCAGCCCACAGTGAACATCTGCACCCTTGGCCTGCTGGCCGCTGGCTTGGAGCAAAGGGCAGAGCTGTACCAGGTCCCAGCTGCTCCCCAGGGCAAGAAATGTGGATTTAAGCTTTGTAATTCATTTGTTACTTCTCGTTTTTGGGCTGTTTTGTCAGCAAGCCCCTGCCTTTGTGAGCCTGGTGCTGCAGTGAAGCGCCCTCTGCCAAGCTTGGGGGATTTTTGGGTCTCAAGCACCAGACTCAGTCTGTGTCTGGCTGGATGGGGGCTGCCTGTCCTGTTCCTAGGGACAGGGGTAGCAGTGGTGGCCCTGTCAGTGTCACCCCTCAGCCAAAGCTGCCTGGGTGCTGGGTGAGCTGCCCTCCAGGCCAGCCTGGCTGCTGACAGAGGAACCTGGAGGGAAACGCCCCAAATCCTCAGGGAAACGCCCCAAATCCTCGTGTTGCTTTCAGGCAGGTGAATAAATCAGGCTGCTGTCAGCTCCTGGCTGGCTGGAAGCCTCCTGCCTTGGGATGGCGAGGCACAATGCGTCAGAGCACGGGAGCTGGGCTGGAGACTGGCTGAGGGCACTGAAGGGATGGATGGAGGCAGGGCAGGGACACAGGAGGAGCAGGATTTGGATAACTCATCGTCATCTTAAAGCCTGCACAGAGGGAAGGACCCTGCCCTGCCCTGTGCCCCTGCCTCTGCAGGCAGATTCCTGCCTGGGGCATCCAGTGGAGGCGATGCCAGGTGGATGGGGATGGTTCTGGCAGAGGCTGGCACAGGGAGCCTGGAGGTCTCCAAGCAGCTGCAGAAAAACCAGCACGGGTTGTGGAGGCTTGTGCAAGCCTGCTCGTCCCCACAGGCAGCAGAAGCACTGCAGCCATCAGAGGGTGTGGATCTTACCTGCTTAAATAGCACTGATGTAGATAACTCACTTTAATTTGGAGAGATGTTTTGGACATACAGGCATGTGCTGGGGGAGGTGCCAGGCAGATTTGGGACACCAGTGTCCTGAAAAAGGCGTTGGGTACACCTTGGTTGGCTGTCTGGACACCTGAGCGGGGACAGAAGCGTTGCTGGCTGGCCCCAGGACTCTGGTGTCCTGCAGCAGCTGTGGCTGGGTGGGTTTCACACATCCCCCTGCTGTGTTTGCACCTCCCCTCTCAGCGGGATCAATGTCTCAAGGGACTTGTCAGAAAGGCTTGGTGTCCCCAGGGCTGGCTGGTGTCCCTTGGGAGCCGTGTGGGCAGCTCTGCTGCACTGTGCTCCCGTGTTTTAAGCACTTAGTCAGCGCAGCTGTGTACAGGGAGGAGGGAACAGCCTCAGAACGTGCTCACATCCCCACGGGAGCTGTGGGGATGTGAGGGGCTCTGGCAGCCCTGGGGAGGCCACACCTGGCACCTGTGTCTGTTCCCTGCTCTGGCTGCACACTCCGGCCATGGCAGTGTGCTCCCCTGGTGGCACTGAGCGTTTTGCCTGGTGACACCTGCAGGATGTCAGAGCTCCTCAGAGCAGCTGGGATGAAATCTGGGACCTGCCTTGGGCATGAGCCCCAAGGTCACGGGCAGAAGATGCCCAGGGGTGCACGGGGATTTTGGTGTAAGCCTTCAGCCCTGTGGCAGGCAGTGTCCTGCTCAGGGCACTGCAGTGTTCAGGACTCAGTTTTTCCCTCCTGCAGCTCAGGCTTCGCCCATTTGTGGGTGGCAGGGCTGGGGACACCTGGTGGCCCTGGGGCTCCTCCACAGGAGTGAACTCTGACTTTGGCTGCTCGGTTCCTCAGGGAGCTCCCTGTGCCAGCTTCGCCCCGTGCCTGTGCTGCAGCAGCTCCGGAGGGGACGGGGGCACTGAGCTGCCAGAACAAGTGCTGGTCACTCAGAGCTCGCTGGAACAGGAGGTCGGGACGTGCCGAGCAGGCACCGGCACCACCGGGAGCACCGGGGGCCACTGCACGCTGCGGGCGAGCCCGGCGCCGGCAGCGCCCGAGTGATGGATGCTCGGGACGGGGCAGCCGCGCAATGAGATCACTCGGCAGAGCCATGGAGCATCAGAGTGAGACCCAGCGACTTTCCATTCTCTTTGCAATCGCTCATACAAGACGTTTATTGCGCCTCTCGCCTGCCGCACGCCCTGTGGGAGCCCTGCGGGAGGTGCCGCGGCCGCCAGGTGTGCGGGCTCCCCGCAGGTGTGCGGGCTCCCCGCAGGTGTGCGGGCTCCC